AAAGTGTATTTTAAGTTGTGGTTATTTTAAACACCTGTGAATAAATATTCAGGTGATAAAGGTTCAATGAATTATTAGCATCGCAGTTAATGCTTAAACAGTTATTTTTTCAAATGATTATAGGAAAAAAATAATTTGCATAATTTGAGTAAAAAAAAATGTATTTAAAAAATTAATAATAATTTTTATAATGAAAAAAAAAAATTCAATTATTTTAAATCGTAAATTTAGAACTTGCATTTGGTGCATTGTTAAATTATGTAAATTAATTCCATTTCACTTTTTGTCAGGAAGTTTTTTCACATTGAAGTGTGAAAAAACAATTTTTGATATAATGGAAAAGTGTTAACGTTGTGATTAAGTGAGTAATATTTTATATGTTAAATATTTTGTAAATTTAAATTGTTTCATTTTGCGACAACTGTATTCGTGTTAAGAGTTGATAATAAATTATGTTGACAACGTGCCAACAATAAATTGCACAAATTTACACACAATTTAATTACGATTCGCATTCGCATCGCACTTTAAACAATTATCCTTCCAGCGTGAGTTCGTGGCAATATTGCAGATTTGCACAGAATTGATGTGAACTCATTAACTGTGATGCTGATAGTCCTGTTATGTAAGCCACTGCAATTAGAAACATTAACAAAAACATAACACCGACACTCGCATCGGGACTCGGAGCAATCGGAGTAATCAGAGTAATCGGAGAAATCATAGCACTCGCAAGGATATCGGCAACATTCAATTTGCTGTATAAATTAATTACGATTTGTTGTATTGGAAGCAGTTGAAATGTGGCATCCACCAATATTGAAAACATCTAAACGGATATTAATGCTAATAAATGAATAATCAATCATTGTATAAATCATGGCCTAAATAAATCTGTTTTTACTCAGTAATTATATTAATGCTTCTGATCCTGGCGTTGGTTCTGGTGCTGGTGCTGATGTGATTTATTTGCAAAGTACACATTATTGAAATTCTCGGTTGGAAAACGGTTGCGATAATGGGTGCAGGCAGATACTCCATTATTGCTTTTATTTAAATCAATTGATTATATTAATATTAAGGAATTAATCAAATTGATTTGATTTCTCGATGATAAATAAATTTATGTATGTACTTAAAGTACCTGCAATGTTGAAGTCAACAAACAAAGCAGACAAGCAGACACTAATGTTATTATGGAAACTAGAGAAATAGTTGACGATGTAATCACTTCAATAATTACATACCCAAATTGTAAAGTAATTTTGCATATGAAAAATGTATAGAATCATAAATCAAATTCGACTTCAGTACAGTTTTAAGATAATATGAAATACGAATAGCTTGAGTGAAGGTTTTTTAGTTATCAAAAATTTCAGTACTCCAATATTAACACTTCTCTTAAGAATGTACTGAAGAAAAAAATAAGGGACCCCAATCTAGTAATCAAAGGATGAAAAATAAGGGGCTTGATATTTCGGTAACAAGTAGTGAGAACATTAATCACACTAATTTTTATATGATAAATATCAAGTAATGAATTAAGAATCAGGACTCATTTTCCAAAACAGAAAAATCATCGAGATACGATGCAATGGCGGATTAAGTAATAAAAGAGATAACTCTAAAAGCCCTTAATATATACGAAATTTGTTCAATCGCATATTTTAACCTAAATATTATTCAAAAATAGATGCAATTATTGCGATATGTGAACCAAAAAAAAAAGAATATACAGACTTATATAGACACATATGTTTACTTTCGTGGCTCTCTAAAGTAAGGTTAGACTAGGTTAGGTTATGCCCACGATCTAATGGACCCACAAAGACTTATTCGGTCATTGTGTTATCCTATAAGAACTTTGCTGATATTTATAATCCTCTTGAGATGAAGGTCCTGAAGCCGACTAAGAATATTAAAATGAAATTTTTTTTGGTTTTTTAAAACTATGTCGAGAATTCGTCCAACAGCCGATATTGTGGTCAGAGGAGTCCTATTCACTTTTAATTACAAAAAGCCATTTAAGACATTGTGAACAAAGTCCAGAATAAATCTGGAGTAGAGCTCTCAATCTGTACTGATGACAGAAATTCCACATAAAACAAGTTTCTTTAGAGCGTTATCAGGAAGAATAAGCATAGTTGTTTCCATATCTTGGAGGCATAATCTTCATTTTGGGTTAGCAGTTAATTGAAGTTTATGTAGGTGATATTTCAGACCATAATGGTATATAATGAAACCAGTTAGGAATCTTAAATCAACTTTTGAGAATTTAATAATGTTTTTAAAGGAAAATGGTTTGACCAGTCCTTTGCTTTGTCTGAGTCCACGACAATCCTTCCAGTGTACCAGATGTAGTTAAGAACTAAAGTAACATAAATTGTCTACGTATTTGCGATGAACATATGAAACATGTCGAATGATGTAGCTAAAGTTAAAGTAGAGAGAGTGGGATACTATAATTGAGCTTTTCGAGGTTAAGAAAGATCAATCGGAAATTCTTCATTATGCAAAATATGCAAAATGGGAGATATTTCGATGCGAAATTGAAAGATCCTTCGATGAGTTTTTAGGTATAGGGTTGGAATAAAGAATGGAATTGAGGAAAATGGTAGCTACTGGTTTTGCATTTAAAGTCAAATCATGAAGTATTCTTAACATATAATACATTTTACATAATTTTACATATTTGCATAAAACTATGCATATTAAGGCCAGTAAATAAAATAATGTTATAACGTTATAGGTATTCATTTAGAATAGAGTTAGACTCAAATGTGAATAACTCTCAAATGAGAAATTTCTTCATTGATAAATCTTTTTAAAATTTCACTAAAATACATAAAAATGATTGAATTCTCATTCAGTCGGCGACTGGTTGTCTGCACCGAAAGTTAGTTGTTACTTCGGCTTGTTTATGTGTTTGTTGTCATTCAAATGTTGACATGATGTTTCCAAAAGTTTTCCGTGTATGTCCTTGAATGGAAAGTGGCGACAAATTTTAATAAAATTTGTATATTGCAAAAACTTAGCAACTTTTTATACCGTCTGACTTCGGTTCAGCATATTTAAAGTAACAAACATTTCATTTTACTCATACGAGTACTTTTGACATAACTTAAAGATACTGACAAAGTGGAACCATCCTTTTTAAAGCACTTATGGGTAAAGTTTAAGCAAGTTTTCAAAGTTAGTGAGTAAGGGTTTGTTTTTTCTGAACAGGTCTCATTTATTAACTTAAAGTAGGGTGTTTTTGAATTTTACATACGTTTATAGTTTCATAAGATTTGACCTTATGCTTCAAACTTTTAAAACTGAGCAAGAGAAGAAAAAGTGTTTTAAACTAAATAAGAAGTTCAATCAATGAGACATGCTTTACTTTTTTGTTAATTTTTTTATTTTTATAATAAAAAAAAACTCGCGAATAAACTCGCTAATTGAACAAATATAATATATATAAACGCGATTCATAAGTTAGTTAACGGTTGCAATAATTAAATAGTTTATAACTCATAGATTATTTCATGATTCTGATAATTAAATAGTCTCCTATAGAATTTATAGGTTAGTCTATTGTTTCGATGATTAGTCAACAAATTTTAGATGATGTACTTTAATATAAGACTTTGTATGACACTTTTCACTTTTATTGAGTTCAGAGCTACCGAAACCAAACGGGACTTTTCCAGACAAACAAGATGATGTCCCGTTTGGTAGCAATTATGCATTCGAATAATAACGAATGATTACTCCTTTAATGAAACTAAGCACAGGGTCAGATTCGGAAGATGCGGGTGTTAACTTATATCATATAATATATCGTATGTGATCATAAAGATCATATCAATAGGTAAGATCAATAGGTAATATAATAAGAATTCGCCTTCTTAGTCA